TTGCGGCCGGAGCTGGTCGTAACCCGAAAGTTCGTTAACAGAGGTGTTCGTAACCCGAGGTTCCACTGTACATGATATCTAGCTGTCATGCTAGAATCAGTAGAAACTAACCGGGTCCCTACAATTTTTCCTGTCTCATAGTTTTCAATCTTTATTCTCATCCAGAGTTTGTTTTATCTTTTTTTCCCCCCAATCAATGGCCCTTGAAGTTTCCATGATTTAAAAAGGTTAATATCAAATCCAGTTCTTCCTATGTTTAATTCAAGAATTCATTTTTAACTTGTATTTTATATCAAATTAATTAAAAGAAAAAGTGTAATAAAAATATTAAACATATAAACACAACTTCAGAATTAATAGTGATGATAAAAAAGGCCTGGGAAATTATACTAAAAAAAAAAAAACACACCAAAAATGTGACATTTCTTCCTTGCACCTTTGTAAAAAAAAAATAATAATAATAATTCAAATGTTGACAAATACATATCAACAAACTGTTATAGTAAATCAGATATAAACTTCTCCTTCCAGTGATGTATCATAATTCTTTTAACCAGACCCTATACTCAGAAAATCCACATTTCATGGCATCTTGATAGATTCCAAATATTAGGGACATAGTCAAGAAGAGCATCTGAATCTTCAGCACATATGGACTGATACAGGATTATATTAACAATCCTACTGATTTTAGCCCAAATATGGCAGTAATAGCAGAAGACCAAACTATATGAGTTATATTCCAACTACTTTGTTGCATTTCCAACAGCAAGACAATTATCACCAATCATTATTAAGCATTCTTGCACAAAAAAGAAAAAATATGTGTTGCATTAACCAAATTTCATGTTATGTAAAGTACAACTCAATTGGTGTCTCAGGACAGGCAAATCAAACTCATTTTTAAGAGGTTAATATCTCTTTCTTCAACTTTCTGTAAAATTTTACTGGTATAGGAATTACTGTTAATTACTGTTCTGGAAGGTCAGAAGCAGAAATAACACCTGGACCAAATAGACCTAATAAATACTTGATTTAAATAAACTGCCAAGAAGCACTATTAGCTAAATCATACTCACTTTTTTTTAATTCTACAGAAGTTTTAAAATAGATTCCACACATCTCCTGTAGGTTCATTCAAAATAATAATACTGTGAGAGCACCAGTTTACCCCACAAAACAAATGTAAATGCTATTTTGAAACTGAAATTATCAAACAGTA